CCGTCGTCGCCGCCGTAGCCGTCGTCGTCGTCGTCGTCGTCGTCGATGTCGACCACGACCACGACCATGACGACGTTGTCGTCGTCGCCTTCGCCGTCGCCGCCGTCGCCGTCGTCGTCGCCCTCGCCGTCTTCGGTGTCCGTCGTCGCCGCCGCCCTGGGCACCGTCGTCGTCGTCGTCGTCGTCGCCGTCGCCGTCGTCGCGGTGCGTCACCGTCGCCGTCGCCGCTGTCGCAGTCGCCGCTGTCCGTCGCCGCCTCGCGCGCGGTGGCTCGGGCCGTGGGCTCGCCCGGCGGGGAGGGAGGGGAGGGCAGGCGCGCCCGCGAGAAAGGGCAGGGATGCGGCGGCCCGCTCGTCCAAGCGGGGCCTGTGGGCAGGACGAGCCAGGTCGAACGGAGCGCACTTCTCAAACTCGCGGCCATATGGGAGGGCGATATAAAAAAGGGGGGGGATGGGGGTGGGGGCGGGGGGACTGGAGGGCGCATAGCGTATCGCTCCCTCCCCTCAGGCCGTGGTGCCGGACGCACTGCGGCAGTGCCGGGGACGCACTGGGGGGGGGGGGGGGCGTTATTATGTTATGGGGGGAAGGGGGAGGGAAGGGTAGGGGGCATAACGCGCGTTATGGCCCAGAGGGTAGAAGAACACTCCCCCGAGCTAGCGCAAACGAGTGTCGGACATCGGCAGGCTTATATGCCTCCAATGAGAAATCGGAACCCAAATCGGAATCCCAAGTCGAATCGAATCGGAATCGGAAGCCATCGAAATCAAATCGGTTCGACTCGGAGGAATCGAAACGAGCCCTGAGATAGGGGCCCCGAATCGCGAGGATGCCTCAGGAGAAACGGGTTGGACCACCTTGCGTGCGACATCTGGGAGCTCAGAGTTGCTAGGATGTCTCAGGCGGCGCCCAGACCCTCCCAGAGCACAATTTGACAACAGAAATGTAATCACATGGTTCGGTTGGGTCTGACCCCACTTTCCTTTTTTTCCTCCCTCTCGGAGCCCACAATTTTGAAAATGCTTCAGGCGAAACGGGCCAGACCACCTCGTCCGCAATATATCGAACCCCGAACTGCAAGGATATCTCAAGCGAAACGGGCCACACACCCGTGCGCACAGTTTCTCAGAGAACCGAATTGCAAGGATGTCCAGGCGAAACGAGCTGAACTACCTCTCGCGCGGCAGCTCGGAGCTTAGAATTTCGAGGATGTCTCAGGCGAAACGGGCCAGACCACCTCGCGCACGGCATCTCGAAGCTCAGAGTTGCAAGGATGTCTCAGGCGAAGCGGGCCAGACCACCTCGCGCGCGGCATCTCGAAGCTCAGAGTTGCAAGGATGTCTCAGGCAAAGCGGGCCACACCACCTCGTGCGCGGCATCTCGAAGCTCAGAGTTGCAAGGATGTCTCAGGAGAAACGGCCCGGACCACCTCGCGCGCGGCGTCTCGGAGCCCCGATGTGCAAGGATGTCGCAGGCGAAACGGCCCAGACCAGCTCTCGCCCCGAACCACCTCGCGCGCAGCGTCCCAGAATCCAGATTTTCGAGGATGCCTCAGGCGAAACGGACAATACCACCTTTCGCGCGGCAGCTCGGAGCTTAGAACTTCGAGGACGTCTCAGACCAGGCGGAACGGCCTGGACCACCTCGCGCACGGCGTCACGGAGCCCGAATGTTCGAGGATGTTTCAGGCGAAACTCCCAATCCTGGACAATCCAGAAACGAGAGTCGTGAGGATGTCTCTCAGGGGAAACGACCCCGACCACGAGATTCGTTTGAGGATGTCTTGGCTCCACCTTCCCCTTGGCCGGAGCTAGCTTCTACCACAACAGAACCCCGTTCAGCAAGCTGCTTGGAAAAACCGAAGACACAGCGAGAGAGAGAGATAGAGAGAGATACATATAAGCGTTGCTTGGGGACTGACTGTACGTGCACACGTCGGTCGGAAGGAATAGGTAAAAGCATGACGTATGCAGGCGTTGGCATTGGACCGGGCGCCCGCTCCGCGAGAGGACCAACCGCTCGACCCTCGAAGCAGGAAGGCGCCTAAGACAGGCTGGAACCTAGGAATCCAGAAACACCTACTTTCAACGACCGACGAATATATTCACACACGTATATATATATACATACATATATATGTAGGTATATATACATATATGTATATACATATATATGTATACATATATATGTATGTGCATGTACATACATATATATAGATATACAGGCATATAGATATACACGAATATGCAATAAAACAAAAAACCTTGGGAAACGTGATTGGCAACATTGGCGACAACGACGACGGCGGCGACGACGCCGACGGCGATGATGATGGCGGCGACGAATGGGACGACGACGACGACAACCACGACGACGACGACCACGACGACGACGACGACGACGTGATTGGCAGCATCGCCCGACCTGTAGCCGAGGGCGACGACGCTGGCGCGGCGAAGGGCGGCGACGACGAGGGCCGCTGCCGGCTCGCGCTGGCGCCGAAGCCCGAGGGGCGGACTGGCACCGAAAACCCGGGCCGAAGGCGCAGCGACGGGAGAGCGAGAGCGATTTACACAGAGGAAGAAAGGGGGAGAGAAGAAAAGAGGGAGAGAAGGAGAGAGAGAGAGAGAGAGAAAGCTAAAGAGAGAGAGAGAGAGACCGGGAGGCATAGCGGCGGTGAGAACGAAGGCGACCGAGAAAGAGGGAGAGAGAGAGAGAGAAGGCTGGAGGGGCCGAAGTAGAAAGCAAGGGGGACGAGAGAAAGAGAGATGGAGTCAGCGCGCGAGAGAGAGAGAGAGTGAGAGAGAATGGGAGGATGGGCGTGATGATGGTATAGACTTGGGGGGAGTGGGAGAAGGGAGAAGGACGGGAATAACCAGGATGATGATGGTACGATAGTTGTGATGGAGAGGAGAAGTCGCGAGGGAGATGCTCTGCGACAAGGACACGGGGCGTCAATGAGGGCGCGAGCTTTTCGGCAGGGACGGGCTAGCGAGTACGCGCGGGTCAGGTGCGCCGCTTCTGCGAGCCTCTGGCAGCCCCGGCATCTGAGGGCGTGCCTTTTCGAGGAAGGGGGCGGGGTACGAGGGATAAGGATGCCTTGGGGGGAAGGACGGGCCGAGGCAGGGTATGGGATGGCAGGGGAAAGAAACAAAGAGGGGGACGGGGGCTGGGGATGAGGGAGGGGGATGTTGTGGGGAAGGAAGACTCGGGGGGGCATGGCGTGGCAGAGGGGACAGAAACCAAGGGGGGGAAGGAGAGAGCAAGCGAGAGGGGACGAGGAGCGCTGGGGACGGAGCAAGCTCCCCGCACGGCCGCACACACGTAACAGGCCATGGGGCGTGGGCCGCCGATGCGGGGGAGCGGCTCGGGGGACAGCGTCGAGCCCAGACTCTGCGATCCATGGCCCACGGATCGGCGATAGACCCCCGATGGCGATACCTTCTGGATGGCACGACATTGGACACCCTGACAGTCCGATCGTTGAATTAAACATGTAAAATGTCGGAAGAATGTCCACCAAATGTTTAAAACATGCTTTTTTGTTATACGGTTTAAAAGAACAATTTTAACACATGTTCTGGACATCTGGCAACATGCTTCTTCTCCGTGGATCGTCCTCCACAAGCGATGCCGAACTGTCCCGAGCGTGGTAGGCTTTCGGGCCCCAGTCGGCGATGAGCGGGCGACCAGGGGTCGATGCGTCCCCGATGCGTCCCCCACCGGAGTCGGCCCGAGCAACTGGCTCTCCCCCGCGCGTAGAGGTGGAGGAGAGCCTCGGGGGCAGCACTGCGAAGGAGACTCCTCGATGTTGCTCTGGGCCCTCTCCTCGCCATCGCTCGGACGTCCATTTCCCGTGCATTTTTTGGTTTCGTGCGTGTTTTGTTTTGCTCGATGGTCCAGGATCGTCCTCAATGGTTCTCGCCGAGAAACAATGCACACGTCCGAGCGATGCCAGGTCTCGGGATATCGTTGGGCAGTCTGGGAGGCGCCCGTGGACGGCACAGACAGACACTCAGCTCGCCAGAGCGGCGGGCTCGTCGCCTGTGCCATCAGAGGCATCAGAGGCCTCGCCCCCGGGAGTGAGCGGCTGCGGCGGCCAGCCTTCGACGTCGTCCTCCCCCTCGTCCTTCACCTGGATCGCCTGCTCTTCCCGAGGCCTCCTCCGGGGAGAGCGCTTCCTCCGCGGGGCCACTTGGAGGGGGAGGACGGGATGATAGCGATGATGCTTGGGGGGGAGGCGGGGACAAGCGGGAGGGGGGAGGGGGGATAGGGGGGATGAGGAGAGTGGGGAGGAGAGGGAAAGAGGAGACAGAGGAGTGGATGAGGAGCAGGCGATACCTCACGCGGTGATCGGCCTGTCGCAGGAGCAGGAGGATGCAGAACGGGGAGGACGAGAGGGAGGAGGAAGAGGAGGAATCGGTGAGCGCGCGCCTGGTTCCCAATACGTACCCGCACATCCAAGGCAACGGACAATGAGAACCAACCTGGTGACCCCTCCCCCAAGGCCGCCTGGAGCTGTCGAAGGCCGGGTGTTGGGAACCAAGCAAAGACCGAATGCTGGGAACCAAGCAGAAGCCCAGGCCCAAGCCCTGGGCCTCCCGAGCATGGGGAACCAGGCGGGTGAACCATTTTTTAAGGGGGTCCAGCGGTCACCCGCTTGGTTCCCACGTTGCCCGGGAGGCTCGAGGCCAACGATCAGCCGAAGTCGAGGTCGAAAAAGCAGCCGCCTGGGTTGAACAGATCACATCGTCGGAGATCTGGGTCTGGACCTGCGACCCTGCTGGCGCCCACACAGCCCCAGCTTGGCGGCGCGCACAAGGGGGTGGGGGGAGGGGGGAGGGCTTCTTAGAAGCACCCCTGCTTCTTAGAAGGCGCCGGCCTTACATCTACAGATAAGGCCCGCGCCTTCTAAGAAGCAGGGGTGCTTCTAAGAAGCCCTCCCCCCTCCCCCCACCCCCCTCTGCACGTGGCTGACCAGCATGGCGTCCGACGCGTCTGAAACCACCGGGCAAGGGGTAGGTACAGCACGACGACTCGCAGCAATGAGGAGGCGGCGTGCGAGGGAGCTGCAACGACTGCCGGCCAGCTGCCGCACTCAGTGTGAACGCACGCTCGTCATCCCTGAGGTCTGCCACGGAAACACGGAAGGGGACTTCGGCAGCGCGAAGAGTCACGAGGAGACACGCGTCCGTAGGAGCCACCACGTGAGAGGTCGCCATTACGCAAAATGAGAAGGGCCACTAAGCCATATTCGCCTGGATTGACCTCAGGATCAAGCCCGCTTCAGCCAGATTGGCCCCCGAGAGGACTCTCCAGGGCCGCCAGCGCCTGCTGGCAACCCCCGGGAGACCTCAGCCCGAAGGCCGAGGATTTTGTGCTAGAGCGGCATTAAACAAGCTCGAGCGGGACTGTACGGGATCCGGATGGATTTCAACCACGAATGTACCAGCGCCGAGCCGATGCTGAATTGAACCTCGCAGAACTTGAGTCGTATCATGGGCCCGTTCTCCACCACCACCGCCTCAAGAAGCTGGAGGGGGGAAGGAGGTGGAGGAGGAGGGGGAGGAGGGGGAGGAGCAGGAGGAGGAGGAGGAGGAGGAGGAGGAGGAGGAGGAGGAGGAGGACCCCCTCCTCCTTGGACTTGTGGTGGTGGTGGAAAGCAGGCCCATCCTGCATCTGGAGCAATGCCTCGTGAGCCGTCCCGCGCGCCACGGCCTCGGCCGGGCGGTCGGCGGTGCCTCCGTCGGCGAAGGCGTGCGGCCGCGTCGTGGCCACCGAGATCCGAAAGAGGAAACCCCTGAGCAGAACAACAAAAAAAACAGCAACAACAACAACACCACCACCACCACCACGACCACCACCACCACCACCAACAACAACACCAACAACAGCAGCAACCGCAACAGCAACAGCAACAACAACAACCAACAACCGCAACAACAACAACAACAACAACAACAACAACAACAACAACAGCAGCAGCAACAACAACAACCACAACAACAGCAGCAGCAGCAGAAACGGCAACAGCAGCAGCAACAAAAACAACCACACCAACAACAGCAACAACAACAACAGCAGCGGCGACAACAACAGCACCACCAACACCAACAGCACCTCCAACACCAACAACAATAACAACATCAACAACAACAGCACCAACCACAACAACAGCAGCAACAACAACACCAACACCACCAAGACCAAAAGCACCACCACCACCACCACCAACAACAACAACAACACCAGCACCAACAACAACAGCAACAACAGCAGCAGCAACAACACCACCACCACCAACAACAACAGCAACAGCAGCAGCCGCAACAACAACAATAAACACACCTCAGAACAAGTCAAGCAGCCCGCATCGTGCACAACAACACAACACACCTAATAACAACTGCACGGGCAGAAACTCTTGAAGGTGCGCGCGGGCTTCTTGGACCTACGCTGGCCCCCCCCTCGCTGGGGCAAGGAGAGCGCCGAGGGGGCGGCGCCTTCGGCGTCGAGCCCCGAAAGTTTATGTTTAGGCAGTCGTTCCCCCCCCAAACAAAAAAGGGGGAGGGCAGGGCGGAGCATGGCCGAGGCCACGGCGCAGCAGCCGCAGACGCCACGCGTCAACATCCGCAGCCGCAGCCGTCGCACGCCCAGATTCGTGAGGAGTCGCCGCACGTCGTCGTGGTCGTGGTCGTGGTCGTGGTCGTCGTCGTCGTGGTCGTCGTCGCGGCCGCAGCCGCAGCAGCCACCGCCGCACGCGAAGTTCCGCTCAGATCTTGAGAGGCAACTCCTGGATGTCTTCGCGAGAACGATGGGGAGCACGGCACGACTCGCGCCAGCGCAATGAGCATCAGCACTTCCTGGGCGCTCCCAGACGGCGCTGGCGCGAATCGTGACGTGACCGGCCCCCCCCTCCCCCCGCCCCCCCGGGTCACGGCCGTTATGATCGCCAGGACATCAGAAAGGCTGACTTCAGGGCCATGTAGACTCGGTTAAACGGCCACAAAATCAAACGAACAAATGAACTAATCCGACAATTGAGCCCGTTCCAGCTGGATTAGGCTGGATTACGCGGGATCAGAAAGGTTTGTGCCAGATGAGGGAAGATGTCGAACACGGATGTGCCAATGCCGTGCTGAAATTATCTCCCAGAATAAAACGAAGCCAAGACGAGGATGACACCGGGTGTAGATAAATCGCGAATCTCTGAGATCCGGCGGCTCTGGAGGATGTCTGAGGGCGTTCAGGAACGCTCTGAGGGCGTTCCGGAACGCACTGAGAGCGTTCTAGAACGCTCTGGAACGTATTCCTCCTTGTCCTACAATCAATAAGGATGCAAGTGCCTTGGACGCAAATTTCGAAGCTTTTCGAGTGGGCCGCTGCCAACGACAGTGGCCAAGGATGGACCGAGGAGGCGAGGATGCAGGGGTACCCTTGGGAGGGTTGCCCATGCTTCCAATGCGGGTCGACTGCAGCCCCGTCCGACAGCAGCTGCGTCCCAACACGGGGGGGCCCCCTGACCCCTGACAGGGCCCACCCCGGCCCGGACCACGTGCCGCGTCGAGATGGCCACGGCGACGGGGACCCTGGGCCACACATGATCCCAGGCCGCGTGTCCACAGGCCCCCTCGCCCAGATGAGACAGGTCACAGGATTCCACAGGCCCCCCAAACTTCAACGGGGGGACGACGACGACGACGCCGACGACGCCGACGACGACGACGACGTCGACGGCGACGACGGCGACGACGACGACGACGACGACGACGATGACGGCGACGACGATGACGGCGACGACGACGGCGACGACGACGGCGGGGACGACGACGACGACGGCGACGACGACGACGGAGCCGCAGCACCAGCCCACACCCACCACGCCACGCCCACAAGGCCATGGCCATACAGTCATCGGCCTGACCTAAGGAACGATAAATAAGGAACGGAGCCCCTTTTTTATCCCAAGGAATAACGCATAAGGAACGATAAATAACAAATAACACATAAGGAACTGTAAATATCGCATGCAAACCTAAGGAACAACCGAGCCCCTTTTGAAAAGTAAGTGTTCCTTATTCAAGCCGCTCACTGTAGGGGTGGGGGCGACTCCATCGGCGAGGCCTTCGCGGGGCTCACGGGCTTACCTCTCCAGGAGGATATGACGGGGGGGGGGAGGGCGCGATCTCATCGGAATCGGGGACGGCGGGGCCATCCGATTCGCTTCGGCACCCGCTTGTTGGCCCCCTGCCCACTCAGCAACCCCCGTGGCGATCCAAGCGGAACATTGGAGAAACCAAAAGGTGCCGATACCGCCACTCCCCAGATCTCTCCCGGGGTGCGTTCTGACCAGGATCTCGAGGCGAATCCAGCGGTGGTGATGAGGGCCTCCCAGGAGGCCCAAAAAGGAGAAAACGGGCGGGGGGCAGAGGTATGGGTACCTGTTCCTCCTCGGAGGCATGGTGCTCCAACGCGTCGGCGCCGACGAGGTGCCCTATCCCCCGGCGGCGCCGCCGGCCTCTGCCCCGAGGAGCGGCGCGGGGGCCTGCTGGGCCCCCGCGGCGCACAGGGCCGCAGCGGTCGGCCACGCGCGGGGGGGACCCCGGGCACGGGGGGACCGCTGGTGCACGGCCCCAGGGTTCAGTCGGGCCTGTCCCCCTACAAGGGGATTTTCGACGAAAGATAAGAAATACCCCCACAATGATATGAAAATAGTCCAAGAATAGTCAGGGAACTATGTTTGAAGTATTTTTTGATCTTTTGGGAGTATGTTTTGGGTATTTCTTATTTTTCTTGTTTTGGGTATGTTTTGGGGTATTTCTTATTTTTCGTCGACAATCCCCTTGTAGGGGGACACGCCCGACACAACCCCAGGGGGCCCGCGGAGGGGCCAAACTCTGGGCGAGCAGCGCAGTGCTGGGGCCGTGTTACTCCCAGCGTACTGAAAGACCACGTCCCAGAAATACTCTCGAGCACCCGGGAGAGTGTCGAAAGAGTGTCGAGACGGTGTCGAAACTCGGCGGTGGACAAACCTCCCTTTAGTAAACCTCCCTTTAGTTTAAACGGCCTGGGACCGAAACCGACGGACCTGGACCCGCAAAAATGACGGCCGCGACGCCCTCTCGCGAACCGAGAACGGCCAATTCACTAATCGACGTGTCAGGGTAGGATGTCTGTCCACCCCCGAGAAACGGTGTCGGACAAGTGTCCCCCAGGGCCCGACGTGTGAAAAGCCTCGAGTTTCGGTATTTTTTTGGTGCTTGAACATCTTGCTGGTGGTCGAGACTAAAGCAGGTTGGAACATCCTGATGCTGGGGGTGCACCTGAACGACGAAACGAGACAGGTCTTGCGCGAAATGCCATCGTCGCCGCACGCGGTGGCTCACGCAGGCCGACAGAGCGGCGCGCCACATCAGCAACGCGGGCGCTTACACGCGACCTTACGCGAGACGTTTACTCGCCAGCGTCGGTGAAGGCGAGCACATGCTTCTGCGTCGCTCATCTGGGAGTGCCGACTGACCTGCCACACAAGCTGTGGCTGCACCGCCGGGGGGGGCGCCTGAGATCAAACGTCGGGGAAAAAAAACGAGCCGGATCATTCCTCGAGCCGGATCGAACGAGAGCGCCCGTGGGCGTTTCTCTCTGTAAGGAAGAGAAGGAGGAGTATGAGGCGGATGAGGAGGAAGAGGAGGAGGACGAGGATGGGGGGAAGGATGATTAGGATGAGGAGAAAGAAGACCACATGTATGATCTTAGGGTGGGCAAGCATATATATATATATAATACTATATATATATACATATATATAGAGAGAGAGGGAAAGAGAGAGAGAGAGAGAGACACAAACATACATATTCTTGTATATATATAAATATAAATGTATATATATATATACATATATATATATATATATGCACATATGTTCCCTACAAAAGACGCAGCGCCCACCTGTAGGCCCGCACCACAGGTCACTCCAGCGAAGTGTCGCCCTCACGAGGAGCCGACTGTCACCGATGGGGCGGCGCGGCGTGCGCGAGGCCTCCACGTGCTCAGAGCCCTGGCCTGAGGAGGCCGGACTCGGCGGAGCGGGAGCAGGAGCCTTGCCGTCGCTCGAAAGTCCATTCCCCGCGTTTTGTTCGGTTTCGTGCGTGTTTTTGTTGTTGCTCGATGGTCCAGGATGGTCCTCGATGATTCTCGCCGAAAGGAAGTGCACACGTCCAGGCGATGCCAAGAGCGGGAGCAGGAGCAGGAGGGCCCCCCGAGGTGTGCCCGGCGGCCACGCGGCAGTCCTCCGCAGGATCCCGCAGGAGCCTGCAGGATCATGCGCGATTGCCCGGGTGAGTGCACTCCTGGCCTCGCAAGATCCTGCAGGATTTCAGTCGGGCATGACCTTCTACAGTCGGAATTGAGGGAAATTTAAAAATGGTCGAACAGATTCAAGGGTAGTCAAAATTAATACGGAAATCGTCACCAGACAATTCCACTATTCTTGAACATTCTCCCTGTAGAAGGACATGCCCAAATTAATGCAAGATCTGGCGCTCTGGCGGACCACCTGCTTGTATTCCCTGAAACCCGAAGTGGCGAAAACATGCAACATCGTAAACAACCGCGCCTGGAGCCCTGGACACCGCTTTTCTGCGTCATCATTTGAGCCGCCTCGATCTGCGAGTGCTCGGGGGCCGGGAAAAAGGACAAGGACGCCCGGCTCTCAGGGCGGAACCCCGTCTCCAGGCTCCCGATGAAGGGCCCCCCGAGCTCGCCATCGTTCAGACGCCCATTCCCCGTGCGTTTTTCGGCGTCGTGCGTGCTAGTTGTTGCCCGAGGACCCAGGTTGCTCTCCAATGGCCCTCGCCCGAAACAAAAACGTACATGTCCGAGCGATGCCAAACGGGATGCCCCCCCCAAAACAAGAAACATGCGGCATCGACAGCAACTTTTGGCGCTCGGCGCGTGTTCCTTGGATCTGCGCTGGCTCCTCCTCTCCCTGGCGCGCGGAGCGCGCAGGGGCGGCGCCGGAGGCGCCGCCAGGGGGGGGCCCAGCGCGGATCCAAGCAATCCGCGCCCAGCGCCAAAATTTTGTGTTCATGCCGTGTGCTCTTCTTCTAGCGGTGCATTTGTCGTTTGGCACCGCTCGGGCGTATTTGTTATAAATATATATATATATATATATATATATATAATATATATATATATATGTACATAAGAAGGAGGACCATCGGAAAGCATCCTGAATCATCGGGCAACAATAGGGGGCAACATGCGAACCCTACCCTATACCACCCTCGGCAATCGTGGGGGATATAAGGGCAGGGCTCGCACGTGGCCCCCGAAACAAAGATCACGTCCGAACAATGCCAAGCGAGATGCCGCTTAGATGGGGTCAGAGTAGATGAGGTCGGAGAATCGCGGCGCATCGCCGATACATCGGCGATGCGTCGGCGATGCATCGGCGTTGCACCGGGGATGCATCGGTGATGCACCGGCGATGCGTCGTCGACGTCGGCGATGCATCGGCGACGTCGACATGAAGCAAAACGGGCCCCGCATCGAGCCGCATCGGCGATGCATCGGCGATGCGGCTCGATCCTCCGAGCCCACCTACAGTCAAGGTGCTATCAGAAAGGAACGCTACATAAGGAACGAAGCCCCTTCTTGGCCCCAGAAGCGCCCAGGTACACGAGGAGTGATGGAGGAGGAGCGACGGAGGAGCTTCAAGAACAGCGAGCCCCCTCCGCACCCGAGGCGTTCCTTATTTCAGCGTCTTGGCTGTACTTCGACCCCATTTGCTCGCTACTCGGACCCCATCCAGGAGGAGGAGGAGGAGGAGGAGGGGGGGGGGAAGGAGAAGGGGGAAGGGGGGGAGGAGGAGGAGGAGGTGGAGGAAGAGAAAGAGGAGGAGGGGGAGGCGGAGGAGGTGGTGGAGAAGGAGGAGGAGGAGGAAGAGGCGGAGGAGGGAGGAGGAGGAGGAGGAGGGGGGGGGGGGAAGAGGAGGAGGAGGAGGAGGAGGAGGAGGAGGAGGAGGGGAGGGGAAGGAGGAGGAGGAAGAGGAGAGAGGAGGAGAGGAGGAGGAGGAGGAGGAGAGGAGGAGGCGGAGGAGGAGGAGGAGGAGGAGGAGGAGGAGGAGGAGAGGAGGAGGGAGAGGAGGAGGAGGAGAGGAGGAGAGGAGGAGGAGGAGGAGGAGGAGGAGGAGGAGGAGGAGGAGGAGGAAAGGAGGAGGAGGAGGAGGAGGAGGAGGAGGGGGGGGGGAGGAGGAGGAGGAGGAGGGAGGAGGAGGAGGAGGAGGAGGAGGAGGGGAGGCGGAGGAGGAGGAAGAGGAGGAGGAGGAGGAAGGAGGAAGGAGGAAGGAGGAAGGAGGAAGGAGGAAAGAGGAAAGAGGAAGGAGGAGGAGGAGGAGGAGGAGGGGGAGGAGGAGGAGGAGGAGGAGGAGGAGGAGAGAGGGAGGGGTGGGAGCAGGAACGGAACGGAACGGAACGGAAGTGCCCGCGGACGGAGGAGTGCATAGCACTAAATGCGCGCGCCGCGGCCGGGCGCCCGCGGGCGCGGCCGGGCCGCGGGGCGCTCGCGTCGCGGGGGCGGCGCACGGCGCCGGTGGGCCCCCCGCAAGCGGGCAGCATGGGGATGGCTGGCCAGCTCCCCCCCCGCGTTCTGTCGGCCGGAAACCAGCCCAGCCGGAAACGCCCGGCAGCCGACGGAAAGGGGAGGGGCCAGGCCACCGCCAAACCGACACCACCCACCCCAGGGGCCCGCCACGACACGACAGACGACGACAGCGACGGCGACGAAACGACGGGGAAGGAGGACCCCCCAGCCACGACTCCCACGGGGGACACCTGGCTGGGTAGCCAAGCTCCCCTGGGAGGCTGCGTGGCCGGGGCCCCCCCGGGAAAGGGACCCCGCTTTGGGGGCCGTCCCGGGCGCGGGGGTTTTTCCCCCGAAGGCCCGGCGGCCCCCGCCTCCGCCAGGGGGCGCTTTGGCCCGACACCCCGCTTATGGGGGTGCCCCTCCGGGGCGGGGGGGGGGGAGCAGGAGGAGGAGGAGGCGGCGGAGGAGGAGGGGGAGGAGGAGGCCTAGACGAGCGAGATGCCCCCCCGCGGCCGCGCGGCGCCGTCCTCCGCTCCGGGCTGCCAGAGGCGGCGCGGGGGGCGGCGGCCCGGGCGCGGCGCGGGGGCCTGTCGGGCGCCGCGGGCAGCCCCTCGGGCGGCAGCCAGGGGCCGCCCTCCTGCATCACGGGCCTGGCGCGGCGCGGAGGGGGGCCGAGGCCTCCGCCGCAGGGGGGCCGAGCCTCCACCGCGCTCGCGGACGTCCCCTATAGCCTCGAGCAGGGGATGTCGACTGCAGGACGCGAAGGGGGGGGGGATTGCAAAGGGGGGGCTTGAGAATCAGCTCACGTAGCTGATTTTCACGGCGCCTCCCAGCGCCGGAGGCAGCTATGCATCGAGGAGTGGGCCCCTCGGTGGGGCCGAAACCAGCTGCATGCAGCAAATTTCGTACCCCCTTTCGTCTGGCCCCACCCTCCCCCCCCTTTTGCCGCCCCCAGTGCGCAGCGCCCGAAGACGAAAGGGGCCCCTTGCTTCGCCCCCCCCCCCCCTTTTGTCGCCCCCAGTGCGCGGCGCCCGAAGAGAAAGAGCACCGGCCAGGCTCTGGTTGTTCCTCTGAGGCTTCGGCCTCTGGGGCCCCTCGCTGGGCGCCGGGCCTTGGGAGGGGGGGAGGTAACAGGGTGCCATGGCCAAGAGAGTGCCCGCGGAAACGTCGTTTCGATCTTGGTCAGCGCCAAGTCGTGCAGCATCCTCGCGAATGGGCGACGGCGGACATGGACCATGACCAAGATCGGCATGGTCCCCGTTTTTTCTTCCCTCCAGGCCTGTCCAACAGTGACCCGCGATGAGAAGCTGGCCCCGGGGAAAGTGTCGGGGCTACCGGGGACCGCGCACCGAGAAACAAGCAGAACAGCGGATGTCTGGCGGGGTCGACATGGACGTAGTCCGCCTCCTCCCCGTCCTTTCGAAGGCGACGATGGGGGCAAATTCGTAGCCTACGGGGGAGCAATACGCGTACTGATTGTCCATGCCGTCGACGAGGCTCCCTGGCGAAAACGTGCAACGCAGGCCACTGGGCCATTTGCCCCTCTTGTCGCCTCCGATCCTCCTCCTGCCCCCACGTCGTCCCGGATTCCGCCCCGTGTTCTCCTCCCCCTTTCCTCCTCAGTTTCCTCCTGCTGCTGCTGCTGCTCCTCCTGCTCCTCCTCCTCTCTTCCTCCTCCTCCTCCTCCTGCTGCTGTTGCTCCTGCTCCTGCTCCTGCTCCTGCTCCTCCTCCTCCTGCTCCTGCTGCTCATCCGCCTCCTCCTCCTCCTCTTCCTTCTCCTCCTCCTCTTCTCTTTCTCCACCTCCTCCTCCTCCTCCTGCTGCTCCTCATACTCCGCCCCCCTCCTTCCCGCCCTCCCGCCTCAGAGCTCCGGGCGGTTCTGCCAGGGATGCTGGGCGCCCTCGACCTCGCACCTCCTGCTCCTCCTCCTTCCGCCTCCTTGCTCCTCCTTCTCCCCCATCACCGTACTTGCTTCCGTTCTCTCCTTTCTCCTCCTCCTCCTCCTCCTCCTCCTCCTCCGGCTCATTCTCCTCCTCCTCCTGCTCCTCCACCTCCTCCACCTCCTCCTCCTCCTCCTCCTCTCCTCCTCATCCTCCTCTTCCTCCTTCTCCTCCTCTTCCTCCCCCTCATCCTCCTCCTCCTCCCACCTGCTCGCAGCATGCTCCCGTAGCGGGAGGAGTGCGAAAGGGGAAAACACCCCGCGCAGGATGGTCACTGCCCATAATAGAAAGCAAGCCCCGTCCCAAGCAGATCGACATGCACCAAGACCACGCCTACGCCAACTATGACATAAAAGCCCACGCCGACGACGAGGGATATGAGACGCACGAGCAATTCTCAACGAAGAACGGACTTGGGAAGGGGTACGTCCTGCGAGACTCGGTGCACAACACATCGTTGAGGATAAGAGGGGGATAGCCGGATATAGGAAAACCCGCATTGCATAAACAGAACGTTCGACGGTCCGCGCGGATTTCTCGGACATATATCTGTATAGATGCTTCCTAGATGGAGTCCGAGTAGACAGGGTCGGATAATAGCGCCGCTTCTCCGATGCAGTGGGATCCTCCAACCCCGTCCACTCGGAGCCCATTTGGGAGTCCTAGCATGTTTATGTAATTGTTTCTCTTTCGGCTCCGCTCTTGGGCCCTCCAAGAGGCCCCCTGAGAGGTGCTGACGCCCCATAACTCGGCTCTCCAACGGCCGCTCGGGACGATCCGGGCACCCGTACGCCTCCCGCCGAGGCACACACTGGGAAGCATCCTGTGGCTGGACAGCCGCCAAGAGCTGACGAACTCGCCCGAAGAGCCCGAGCCTCGAACCCGAACGAGCCCTCCCCCCTCTCCCGTATCCGGCCCTCTGGGAGAAAGGCGAATGTTTGTTTACGATTCGCGGTAACGGTCGTTACCAGGGATGCTCCCCCCGCCTTCACCCCCCCACCTGGTAACATCACGGTTCGCGCCAGCACCGTTTGTGAATCGCCATGGGTAGCTCCTTTCCGCAGGGCGCCAGCGCGAATCGTGCGGGTGGCAGCCCCCTCGCCCCTCCCTTCCCCCCCAGGGCTGGACCTAAATGTTGTGTTTCGTTGTGTCTTCGTTTTGCTCTACCTGTTTTCCTGCAACTCCCTGCCAAACGAAAAACAAAGCACAGCCGAAGTCCAGCAAAGCAGCGTTTAGGGTTTAGGTCCAGCCCTGCCCCTCCCCGTGGCGGCCGTCATAACCACGGGATAGGAATAACAAACAACAAAAAATATGGCCGGCAGGAGGACCTCCTCTTCCCCTCCTCGCCGCCGCAGAGAAGAGCGCAACGCGTGCTGGGGGCGCACATCTGCGGCATCGGGGGCGGCATCGCCGGCGGCACCATGCCTCGGGGAGGAGGAGGAGGAGGAGGAGGAGGTGGAGGAGGAGGAGGAGGAGGAGGAGGAGAGGAGGAGGAGGAGGAGGAGGAGGAGGAGGAGGAGGAGGAGGAGGAGGAGGAGGAGGAGGAGGAGGAGGAGGAGGAGGAGAGAGGGAGGAGGAGGAGGAGGAGGAGGAGGAGAGAGGAGACGGGGTGCAGGGGGAGGCGGGGGGGGGGGGCGGGGACGACGGGTGGGACGGGAAGGCGGGAGGCGAGGGGAGGGGAGGGGAGGGAGGAGAGAGGTGTGAAGTGAAGGGGGCAGAGAAGCGAAAAGGAACGTCGGCGAGAGGTGTGAGGAGGAATGGTGCGTGGGGGGTCGGGAGGGGTGAAGGGCGCATGGGGGGACGGGGGGGAAGGGAAAGGGTGGAGAAACGGAAGTGGAGACGAGAAAGCAGGGGCTGCAGGGAAAAAGGCTGAAGGAGAGGACCAGGAGGGGAAGCATGGGCGGAAAAAGCGGACGGAGGGGAAAGAAAGAGGAGCAACAGAGGGCGGATGGAAGAGGGACGACGGGCGGGGCCGACAAGGGGGGAGAGAGAACGGGTGGGAGGAGGATGGGAAAGGGAGGACGGCAAGCCGTGCGCGCTCGCGCCATTGCGCTGCATTTCTGCCACGTACCCGCCGACGGCTGTCATAGCGGACCTAAACATCCCAAAAGGACCCCATCGTGCCATGCGCACTCACGCATGCGGGGCGTTGCGTATATTGGGGGGGAGGTGGCGGATGAGCGGAAACGAGGAGGAATAGCAGCAACACAAAAAAACAAAAAAACGGGGTGAGCAGGATGCAGGAAAAGGCAGGGAAGAGGAAACAACCAGGGCGACAACAATGAGGAACACTCGGACCCAGAAAAAGAGCACGCGCTGGAGCGATGGCGCCCTTCATAACGACGGACGCAAAACGCCAATCCTAAACTGAGGCCAGCGCAGCGGGAACACCATTGTGAAACACCGAGAACGTTATGATGGACAAGCTCACATTGCAAATAACAACGTATACGCGGTGGGAGCGGAACATAGTCCGGACAAGCTCAATGGGGGGAGGAGGAAGTCGTACTCATGAAGTGTAACTGTCGGCGGGGGGAAAAGCAACGAGGCGCGCGTGCGCCGCATCTTGCAGCAAACCCTTCCAAAACCATCACTGCAGTGGATCGCGGGGCAGTATCACATCCGCCGACGGGCGTGCCAACGGACCTGGGCCCCTCAAGTGGCCCCCGTGCCAGGCGCAATTAAGCAAACAACTTGGCACGTCGCACGCCAGAACATATGAATTACAAGTGCTGGGTTGTTTTCCAATCCTAAGATTTCTTGAAAGTCGGGGGCGGCGTCGGGGTGGTGCGGAATATACGAGTTTCCTTGTTCTCCCGGTGGAAATGGAACAGCGCAACATGTATAGGCCTAAGCTCCGTATGCACCGAGATCCGCTTTCCTGTGTAAATGTCACAGCGGGCCCAGAAAAAACGTCGGAATATAGATCTCGGGTCCTTGGAGAAAACAGAAGATGGGAACGGATGGGGAAGACGAGGAGGAACAGCAGGAGCAAGAGCAGGAGGAGGGGGAGGAGAACGATGACTAGGGGAAGGTGGAACTGGGGAAAGGGACGGGGCGACGCAGACGAGGAAGAGCTCGGATCCAACAGTACGGCCCGCGCTGGCACGAGAGGACATTAGAATGACAACGACAAAGCACCAATACTGAAAAGCTGCCAGGCTTGCAAATGGAAGCGCCGTTTTTGGGAAAATGTGGGGTGTGTCCGCAAACCAGAAAAGGGAGAGCCAGAGCGGACACGACATCGTAAGATATGGCACTGGCTTCTGGGTTCAGCTAAAGGCCGTGCTCGGCCAGCCGGGGAGCATCGTCAAAAACTGGTCGGCGCAAGGCCATGTTTCACGTTGTATAATGATTGCGCGAAACAGAAACCCACTGCAAGTTACAAGCGCCAACGCCTCAGGTGGACATCGTGATAATTTGATTCGTGTCTTCTGGCCACAACGCCGCCACAATCCGCGCCGCTGCCGTGGCCCGGCGGCAACTGGTTGTCTGCATGCCGCGAGCTCCCGACGTCCAGGGTGACGTTGGCGATGTGGTCGGCCTTCGCGTTATTGTCGCGGCGTTTTCATCTCAAAGGTCCTGGTGGACCTGATGGGGTAGGCACCCCGCGTCAAACAAACGCGCAATATGGCAACAAATGCTGCTGATCACCATGGCAGTGCTGGTCCCCTCCAAGAGACAATAAACTAACCGCGTCCAACAATGGTTGACAATCGCAAACGATGACGGACATCTTGGACCAGGCATCCCAATGGATGATGTCATCGTAGATGCCTTGTTTCCCGTGAGAAGCAGGCAAAGCCTCAACCACCAGGTATTTCTCCATCCGAAATCGTTTGCCTGGGGACCCGCATGCCTCATCGGGGAGAGACCCTGGCGGCGGGACAAACTCTGGCAGGTCCGATTTGCCACAGACGGAATGGAAACACACACACACACACACACACATCTAACTGGGTGCGCACATTCCGCTACTCCGCCGTGCCTCCAAGGACCCTCGAAAGTGCAGAAAATTGCAAAGATCGCAACCACCCAAGGAGCCGCGAGGTCCCGCCGCCGTGCCTCCCAGGAGCCCACGAAAGTAGCGCCAGCTGCGAAATTGCATCTCCGCAACGAACTCCGAGGTCCCGTCTGGGTCCGCGTACTCCGCTACTCCGCCGTGCCTCCCAAGAATACACGAGAATGGCGCCAACTGCGCTGCTCGCAACCACCCTGGGGAACTGCGAGGTCCCGCCTGCGTCCGTTTACTCAACTGTTCCGCCGGGCCTCCCAGGAGCCCACGAAAGTGGCGCCAGCTGCGCAATTCGCAACCACACAAAGACCTGCGATGTCCCGCCTGGGTGCGCGTACTCCGCTGCTCCGCCGTGCCTCCAAAGAACCCATCAAAAAAACGCCCATTTCGCAGTTCGTATCCACCCAAGGAGCCTGGGTGCGCGTACTCCACTACTCCGCCGTGCCTTCAAGGAGCCCACGAGCGTGGCGGCAGTTGCGCAGTTCGCAACCACACAAGGAGCAACGAGGTCTCGTCTCGATGCGCGTACTCCGCGATTCAGCCGTGCCCTCCAGGAGACCACGAAATGGGCGCCAACTGCGCAAGTCGCATCCACCCAAAGAGCCGCGAGGTCCTGTCTGCGTGCGCATACTCCACTTCTCAGCCGTGCCTCCCGAGACCACGATAATAGCGCCAGCTGCACAGTTCACAACCACACAAAGACCTGCGATGTCCCGCCTGGGTGCGCGTACTCCGCTACTACTCCGCTGTGCCTTCCAGGAGCCCGCCAACATGCCGCCACTTGCGCAGATCGCAACCACGCCAGGAACTGCGAGGTCCCGCCTGGGTGTGCGTACTCCGCTACTCCGCCGTGCCTCCCAGGAGCCCACGAAAGTGGCCCCAGTTGCGCAAATCGCAATCACACGAGGACCTGCGATGTCCCGCCTGGGTGCGCGTACTCCGCAACTCAGCCGCGTCTCTCCCAAGAACCCACCAAAGAAAAATGCCAGTTTCGCAGTTCGCATTCACCCAAGGAGCCGCGAGGTCCCGCCTTAAAACAGGGCTAGGATCGGGATAAATCGCTCCAGAGCGTTCCGGAGCGCTCTCAGAGCGTTCCAGAACGCTCTGGAGCGGCCGCGGCGCCCAATGCATCCTCCAAACCCGCCGATTCTCGGAGATTTCGAGTTATCCCGATCCGATTGTGTCCCGATCTTCGTGTCGTTTTACGCCTGGGTGCGCGTGCTCCGCTACTCCGCCGTGCCTCCCGGGAGCCCACGACAATGGCGACCGGCGCACACAGTTCGCAACCACCCAGGGAGCGGCGCAGGAGCGGGGCAGGAAGAAAAGGGGGGGAGGAGACGACGCGACCACCAGGCTCTGTTCAAAACGTGAGCCCAAAACGGGAGGTGTGGGTGAAAGAGTTTGTTCTTGATTTGCGGGCATGATTCATGTCCATATCCAGTGCCCTTTGGACTTTTTTGGAAGCGGCGCCACAAGGCCGAGGCGCACTGGATATGGATAAAAATCGAGCCTCTAGGGGGCAAATTTATCCATATCCAGTGCGCCTCGGGTTTCTTGGGAAGGGGGCCCGAAACTCCACACTGCAGTGGATATAGGCAGAAGTTTTGCCCGCTTGATTGTCCATCTGCCAAATTCTAGACGCTTCGCGTATCCCCACCAGCCCGTCCAGAAACGACGCCCAGGCGAGTAGAGGGTCGTCCTGAGGGGCTTTTCGGCGTCTTGGGTGCCTCGGGGGGGCCTTTGTGGGCCGTTCGGGATCCTCTTTGGGGCCTCCTGGGGGCCTCTTGGGGCCTCTTGGGGCCATCTTGGGGCCTTTGGGGGCCTCATGGGCGCTTCTTGGGGCCATCTTTGCCCCCCTCAGGAGGCCAAAATGGGGCCTCTGGGAGCACCTTGGGTGCCTCTCGGGGGTCTCTTGGGGCCTCTTGGGGGTCTCTTGGGGGCCTCCTGGGGGCCTCTTGGGGGGCCTCTTGGGGCCATCCTGGGGCCATCCTGCGGCCTCTTGGGGCATCCTGGGGGCCTCTTGCGGCCATCGTGGAGGAAATCGATCAAAGAAGAGGGGAGCTTAATTAGCGCTGCCCCCTCAGAAGGCCAAAATGGGGCCAAAACCATAGTAAAATCAATGATTTTGGCTTCCTCGCCGAGGCCGTTTTGGACGCTCTGACCGCTCCCCGCCCCTCCTGTCCAGGTCAGTGGGGAGGGGGTAGGGGGAGGGGTAAACCCCTCCCCGAAGGGGAAGAGGGAGGGGTGGAAGAGGAAACGCCCTAAACCACCGACGCCCAGAGGGCTGGTGGGACTGCGGGCGCCCGAATGCCATCCCTGAGCCAGAGCCCCGCAAATCCTCGCTTCGAGAGACGACTCCGTCCACGTCAACTCATTGCCCTCCAATGTGCTGGTGTGTTGTGGAGCCGTG